CTTGGGCGGGGGGTGGGCGGGGAAGGGGGGAGGCGGCATGGGGAGGACGAGGAGGAGGAGGCGGAGGAACGACGGCCCGACACTCGCACTCGTTGTTTGAACAATGTGTGTCTAGTTGGGACTTACCCTATATTTATGTTGTACTTGACCTTGCAGGCAAATCGTTCTCTTGACTATGGGCGTACGTTCCGAAGCGTTGAAGGAACGGTTGACCACCAGGCTGCGAATCTTGAGCCCGATTTCCTGGACAGTGCTTGCACTGAGGGATTTTGGTCCATGCCCGAGATATTAACCGGAAGGATGTGCCGGACGTTCGCGCGGTAGCCGCCTGTCGCCGCCCCGTTGCCGCCTTTGGCGCTGGCTGGATTTACCAGGTTTTCGCGCGTCGGGCGACCGTCGCCGCTTCGTGGCCGCCATAGCTCGCACTTCAGATTGCATTTCATAAGCACACACACACGCCTCACCTTCTATCTGTTCACAAGGGTATGGTTCCACCCTTTGCCGAGGCCTGACTTATCTGACCAGCTGTTCGTTCTGCTGTTCATATTCATTGTGCACGATCGCTTTTCTATATACAATGAATAGATGTGTGTATACATACATCTATACATAATGACACGCGCAGGAGGCCGATATCGACCCACCCCGCAATCCCTGTCGAGTAAAATGATGCCTTGTCCTTTTTTGTCAGCGGCGCTGGGAACGATCGTACCCTGGTCGGACTGGTAGCCTGGTCGTGGAAGCGCGGCTTGTGCACAAGGAGGAGAGGCTGGCAAAGGAGAGGCGGCCGCGAGGCAGGAAAGGAGGTGGGCATGTTCAGAGCGTGAACTTCTTGGGGTGACGTGCAGCGGCCGCAAGGGTGCGGCAAAGCAGATCCAGGTTGACCAGGAATTGCGAAGTGGGAGGAGCGTGCCACCTGAAATGGCTGCAAGGCTAGAGTGCTCGTCCGAGCGAGGCCCAAGGTTAACTAGGTAGTCAAGTGGGACACGACCGGGAGCTTACAGTGCGGGGAACACGAGTCGATTTGACAAGTGCGCTGCATTATGCACCGTAGCAAAACAAACATGATCGAGGTCACACTCGCGCTCACATGTTGAGTCAACAACACCAGTTTTTAGATAAGTTCAAGAAGAATTGTCTAAGCACTGATTCAAACATGAATTATGCATTGCCGCGCACTTCCTGGACTCATGAGAAAGCAATATTTGCAGCATATTGCCGGCTGGAACTGTGCAGGCCACGCGCGCGCATGTCGAACACATTCAACAATCATCGTTCACCTTCTGTCATGCTAGCCCCACGCAAGGTATTCGAGCAGCAAAACAAGTGATTGGCAAAAACAAAGACGGCTGTTTTACTTGTTGTTGGTTGCGCGCGCGTGTTCTCACATTCGTTATCAGCACCCTCGTTTTCTCCAGCATAAACATTGCCATTGTCATCATCACCATGACCTGCATCACTGTCGTGATCATTCTCGTCGTTGTAGTTGCCCTCGGCATCAGCGCAACCACCATCATCATCGCCGTCGCCGATATCGTCGTCACCATCATCACCCAGCCGCCCGAGTCATGGATCTGCATGAACATGCTCTTTGCGTCAGTGCGACAGTCTAGTTTAGTCAACAATTTGCTGGGGGTGGGGGGATGTTGGCTCGAGCATTGGAATTGACGATTCCATTCAATATCCTAGACGCTTCACGTAACCCCACAAATCCATCTAGAAACGATTCCCATGCGAGTTGCCTTGACCAGGCATGTGGGGCAGCACGCAGTGGAATCAAGGCTGGGACGCTGTCGTACCCCAAGGGGGGGAGGATGAAGGAGAAACACTAGAGGATGATGATGATGATGATGATGATGGTGATGGTGATGGTGATGGTGATGGTGATGGTGATGATGATGATGATGATGATGATGATGATGATGATGATGATGATGATGATGCTGATGCTGATGCTGATGATGATGATGATGAGGAGGAGGAGGAGGAGAGAGGAGGAGGAGTAGGAGGAGGAGGAGGAGGGGGAGGGGGGGAGGGAGGAGGAAGAGGGGAGGAGGGAGAGGACTAGGCGGATGAGGAAGAACAAGAAGAGGAGGGCGAGCAGAAGGGTCAGAGGCCTCTTGAAAGCTTCTATGAGTCTCGTCGGATGTGTCCAGAAAGCCTCTCGTAGGCCTGCTGGGGCGTCGTGGGGCCTATTGGCGTCCTGGGCGCCTGTTGAAGCGTCTTGGGTGCCTCGGGGGGCCTCTTGCGGGTCTCGTGGGAGCTTCTTGAGGGCCTCCGGGGGGGCTTCATAGGGGGCCTCGCATGATGGGCGCTTTTCGGGGCACCAATGGGAGCTTCGAGGGCCATCTTGGAGGTAATGAATCAAAGGACGGGGAATTTCAATTAGCCCCCGCCCCAGGAAGCAACCATTGGGCCAACACTTGTGTCAAATCAATGAGTTTGGTTCTCTCGCCGAGGCCTTCTAGAACGCTCTAATGGGTCGCGACCCCCCCCCCCAGGGTGAGGGGGTAGGGGGAGGGGTAAAACCCCCCAAGAAGGGGAAAAAGGGGGCTGTAAGAATGAACGACCTAGACCGTAGGGCGGATGGGATTTGAAATTCATTCAGAATCAGACTATACCCCCCCGCCCCCTCCTAGACTTAACTGCTCGCCTCCGCATTCTATGGGATCGCATTTGTTCTGCACGGTCGTGGATCCTGAACTTCAAATGCGATGTTAGCCAGCGTGGACCCCAAACAGCGTGTTTCGCACAATCGAGTGTGATGCACGATCATGGATTGCAATCTAGGTAGGTTGTGCAATCTATGTTGTGAGGTCTATGTGGTGCAGCCTGTGTTGTGCAATCACTGTCAGGCAATTTCTGAGGAGACATTCATGCTGGGCAATTTGTGTGGAGCCATCTATAGTGTGCACAAATTGTGGTGCAGTATATGTCGAGATTTGTTTGTGCCGGCATTCTACATATATATAGATATATTGCAGTCTACAGGTTGCAATATATGTTGTGCAATGTATGTGTTGTAATCTAGGTTGTGCAATATAGGTTGAGCAAACTATGTGGTTCAATCGAACGGCTACAAGCGGCGACGACAGCGACGGGCGGCGACGGCGACAACATAGCCGCCAGACCGACACACAGGCCCAGATGGCGAGCGGCGACGAGGCGGCGGGGCGGCGACGGCGAGAACATGACAGGCCAGCCTAGCTACGGGCGGTGACGGTGCAGCGACGGCGACAACATAGCCGCCCGACCGACAGACAGGCCCAGCTCGCCAGACCAGAAGTAAGAAATCCCCTTAGTGCACACCCTGTCTCGTGAGCAACACCAGGCAGCCCTGGCATCGATTTCACCAGTTCATGAATGCCAGATTCATCGGGAGCGGAAAAGAGGGGGGTGATGACTAGGGGGGGGTGGATATCATGGCGGGGGCCATGATATTTCCCCAGATATCATGGCGCCTCTTCTTATTTCGTTACGTTCCTGGCCCCCCCGCTGGGCCGCGCACATGCCGCCGGTCATGATTTGCACCCCCCCCTCTTGGACACCCCCCTCTTGGCCGCTCCCGAATTCAGCATGCGGTGCACATGCTTTGATGTAAACGGGGCTATTCTCCCATAGTACGTCACAGCAGATGCCATTCGGGGCACGCGCGCGCCGACCGCCGAGAGCACATGCCCAGACCATTTCCAAACCGTTATTTTTAATAAAAAAGAATCTCACGACAGAGTTGGTCAAACCCTGCCGTAAAACGTCAGTTGCTTCGTTCGCGCGCGCGCGCTCGCTGCAATCATGGGAACACCGCGCTTGTTCAGCATGTATGTCAAATGGGAGGTGTGCCCACACGCGCGCCGTCTCCGCAGGCACGTCGACATTCTTCTAACACACTTGGTTTCTCAACATCTCAGCACAGATGTGTTTAAACCCAAAGGCGTTTGCGCTAGCAGTTCTAAATTCCCGCGCGCCCGCAATCCCCCTATCATCATCAGCACCATCGTTAGCACCATCACCAGTATCGTAATTACCGCCGCCATCATTACCACCATCGTCGTCGTCATCATCACCACCGTCGTGAGCGTCTTCGCAGTCAACGTCATCACCCTATTCGAATTTTTTTTTGCGCGCGCGCACTTTATCATCCTCACCAGCACCACCGCCATCATCATCGCCAGCGTGATCAGTGCCACCGTCACTACCATCAGCATCATCACCATCATCACTGTCGTCGTCGACATCGTTCCCGCTGTCGTCATGAACATAGTCATCGTGATCGTCGTTGTCGTTGCCATCGAGTTTCGCGAACAAATTGCCGGTGGGTATGTGGGATGTTTGCACGAGCATGGGAGGCGCGGATGTTGCGCGGTGGGTGAGTTGTTTCCCATATATTGAGCCGCGCAGTTTGCACCGAATGAGTGCACTTCGTAGTATTGCGCCCAATATGCCTCCCATATCGTGCCACGCCCCTTGCACCAATCGCTTGCACCGCGTAGCTCGCAGCACATGGGTTGCATCACGCAGCTTGTGTGGCATGTGTTGCACATCCATGGCGCCATGACTCGGAATCCGGCGGGCATGCTGGCAATCATCAAGATCCTCTACAACACCCTTTTCGGCTCCGAACTGGACTTGCAGCTACGGCAACGTTCTGAGCCATACTACACCCTGGGCGATGCTGAAGAAAACTTACGTTTTCGGCCAGAGTCTCGATTATTCTTACTGTTCCAATGTAAATCCCAAGATTTTCATGGAACTTCTGGGTTTCTACTCAGATTCTGAGACTATGAATTTCTTAACCCATGATTTCTAAAGCATTTCGCAGGGTGCAGTTCGTCGACTCTCGCACAGCCGCACGGCCGTTGCGCAGATGGCTGCCGCGGGCCCCGGCGCCGGAGAGCTGTTCGAGGTCAAGGGCAGTGTCAACAGGGCTGTGCAGCTGGACTCCGGGAGCCGCAAACATACACCTTAGGCGATGCTTAAGAAAACTTAAGTTTTCGGCCAGG